ATCGCGCCACCTAGCAGTCTTCTTCTTTCTTCCCCGCGAACTCGATGCCGAAGGCGTCCCCATGGTCTCAGTAGTCACCTCATGACACCAGGGCAATCTCACATGGCCCTGGGGCCTGGGCTCCATAGCCTCAGCACCCTCACCCCCTCGTGCGGCCGTGCTCACTGGCCTGCAGTCTGGCATACCCGACTCTCGGGGCCCCTTCTCACGAGGCCCCTCGGTCACCACCACCTCATCCCCACGTGCCTCGGACGGCTGAGAGCCCGCCATGGCGGTGGGCTCACGCATGACCTCTTGCTGCTGCTGTTGCCGCGAGTCAGGCCCTCCTGAGTCCGTCCCCGTGGCCAAGGAGCCCAGCGTCGCCCTCAACTCTCCCAACCTCGGGGCATGCTCTGGAGCGTCAAGTCTCTGAGGCCCCTCCTGGGGAGTGCCTATCCCCATGGCCGTTGCCAGCTGATGCAAACGCGAGGCGCTCCTCTCCGTGGACATAGCTATAAGCGACTCCTGCGCGCCACCCTCCTCCTCAATTGCGTTCACAGACACCTCCTTCGTTGGCTCGACCTGTCGAGGGACCTCCACTGCTACTCCCTGACTCGGCGAAGCCTGCACCCCTCGGCCCTGGTCATCGGCACTGGCTCGCTCCACCTGGCTAACCTCCCAGGCTGCCGAGAGTCTATCCACAGTGGCCGCCATCTCCCCAAATCTCCTCTCCCACTCAACCTCTCTGGTCTGGCTCCTCGCCCTCTCCTCGGCAAGTTGAGTAGTCAGGTGCTCCACCTCCAACTCTTTGACCCTGAGCTCATTGTTGAGTAGATTATACCACTGGAAGTATATAACTGTGTCTCGCATATCCTCTGATCCATGCGCTCAATCGCCTGCCTGGTCGTGGAGAACCCCAAGTCCCCCATCTCCCTCAGCTCACTCGTCTCCTCGTCCGCCTGTCCTGCCTCCCGTGACCTTTGGCGGGCCGCATCCCTCTGGTTCTCATATCTAGCCCACAATTCGTCGATCCTCTGCTCGCTCGTCTTGGGCTCGACCGGCGGTGTCGGCTCTATTCCCGCTGCCTCTATCTCAGCCTGCCTCATATGTATTTCATCCAGACGGACCCGCACTCGGGCGGACCCCTCCTCGCGGGTCTCTCTTGGAACTCCTCTCATTCGTGGCCCCTGGTCCTCTGGAGCCGTCGCCTCAGCCCCCATCCCTTCACTCGCGCATGGCACTATTGGCGGTAATTCCGCTGGAACGGGCTCCTCGATAACCGGACTCTTGGTCACGTGCATGGCCGATGGCAAGTCAGGGGGCGCCTGCATCCTCGCTCCCTCGCCCGCCCCGTGCTCCTCCATCTCTACCTCCTGCTCAGGCACCGCAGTGGCCTCAGGGGGAGACTCTGGAATCTCCTCGCTGCCTGGCTCAGGAGTCCCCTCTGGCCACGAGTGTTGTGCTGGCTCTGGAACTGGGGAGCATGGCGGGGTATCGTCTCCAACCGCGATCACCTCCCCACCCTGAGGTCGTACCGGATCCGGCCGCTCGACCGCCATCTCAGGAACATGCGGCTCCCCTCGGTCTCGCATATCCGTCTCCATCTCGGGGTCCAAGGGCTCCTCCAACGGCACGTAGCACGCCGGCTCGACTGAGCCCTCTCCCAGCCGTGAGGCCTCCCATTGGGATACATCAAGATGAGTCGCTAAGCTTCGGAATGGCGTCTCTCTTGGTATGTCCAGCTCCTGTGCTGATGGCAATGGTGGGGGCGATCCCAACTCCTCACTCGTAATCCGCCGAAACTCGACTGCCTGGAGGCCACAAGCGGGGAACGACTCCTCTGCCAATGCGGGCTCTGCGGGCTCATCCTCCTGCCGTGCCGGGGCCTTCCTCCTCTCTCTGGCCAGCTCCACCTCTCTCGGTGCTGTTTCCCTCGACCTCTTACTTCGCCGTCGCCTCTCGACCCTGGGCTCATGCCTCTCATAATGTGGCCGTCCGAACGCCCTCCTGAGCTGGGCCTGACAGTCCTCCCAATCTCGAGCCCTCTCCCGAATCTGTTTAACCACCTGCCTCTCTGCCTGCCTCGTCCAGATAAGTAGGGTCTGCACCCATTCCTCCTGCGCAACCCCCAGACTCAACATGTAGTGCTCATATGCGGGGATGAACTCATCTGCGTTCCCCTCCTCCAATCGAATGGGCATGCCATCACGCCCCCTAGGGGAAACTCTCAACCTCTGCATCCCGGCCTCCACATCTGGCCAAGTCAGGGCCTCCTCGCATATCTGAGCGACAGACTCCTCGAACCGCCCTATACCCCTCAAGTGGTGAATCCTCTCCGCCACTGACCACCCGCTCTGTGCCGCATGGTCCCGATATATGTCCAAGAAGAACTCAATTTTGTCTATCAAACTTAGGCGTAGGCTCCCTCCTAGGCGGCCCATGCTGCTCGCCTCCTCCCGCCATCCTCCAGAGCCCCTGGCGTGGTCGTGTGTCCCTCCCGCCCCTCTGCATGACCGCCTTCAAAAAGTCAGACCTGCATAACAGGCGAGGGATAATAAACAGCCTGCAGGGTCAGCAACTGAGCCATTGGCCTAGGGACCCTACATACTCTCCACACCCATCCACCCCAATCATCCACCTATCTAATCACCTGACCTGGGTAATACCTACGCAAGACTCTATTCCTAACGAGGTCTCATGGCCCCTTACCTATTCCCTGGCCACGAACTTCTTCAGCCTTGTCCCTGATACCCAGTCCTGCCATCATGCCCCATCTAGCTCTTCGATTTGGTAGGCCCCAAACTCGCTACACCGCACGATCCTATAGGGTCCCAACCACCGTTTGTCGAGTTTCCTAGACCATTGCTTCTCCAGCGAGGAGTCATACAGCAGCACCACACCTCCAACCTTCAGCGGATTCTTCCTTATTCGGGCCATCTGGTCCCACCTCATTTTATCTTCCATACGGCTCCTCTCCACCTGGCCAGCGGCCTCTCGTAACCTTTCCTCAGCGGCTCCCACCTGTCGCGCTCGTATATCGAGCAGCTCTTCAAAGAACAGGTTCACTTCCAGATCCTGGCGCCTCCACGTCTTCATGAAGCTTTCTATGGGAAAGATGGCATGCCTTCCGTACCATGGAGTGGCTGGCGCATACTTGGTAGTCCTTTTCACTGTAACATTTTTCACGAAGAATGCTGCTCTCAGAAACTTTGGTCACTGGTTAGGCTTTCCCTCCGTCCATTTGGCCAGGAGATTTGTGATGGTACTATGCCCCCTCTCCACAGGTGCGGTGGCCTGGGGATGCGCGGCAGTAGTGTAGTTTGCTACCACGCCGTACCCCGCAAGCAAGGTCCGCACCTCGTTACAGGTGAATTCCGACCCCCGGTCCATCACAAATTCTTTTACGAACGGATAGCACAGGTAGTACTCTTCGATGCACCTTGCTAAAACTAGGCCAGTCTTCGTATGAATAGCCCAACCATCCTCGAACCCGGTAAGGTTGTCTCGTGCGTCGAAGATATAGTTACTTCCGTCTTCCCCGAGTGGCATGAACAACAGGTCCAGGTGTACAACTGCACCCACTTCCCTTTCCAGCCAGGGGTGCAGAGGCTCCCCCGGCCTTTGCGCTGACCTCTGTTGGCAAGGTACACAGGACTGGCAGTACTTGATGACCATAGTCAGCATTCTATCCCAATGGTATAGCTCACTTATCTTTGCACACGTGGCACTAACCCCTCTGTGTCCCCCTGCTATACCATCGTGCAAGGCTGCTATGACATCGATCTGCCGGTTCCTCCCACATACGATCATCTTGGGGTTCCCAACTTGTCGCTTTATAAACAGATGGCCATCTCTTACTACGTAGAGATGCCTCATCTTCTGGGCTTTAGCACTTGCGTCCCGATCCCTCGATCCCTTATCTCGCACGACAGGAGTAACCCCAATTCCCGATAGATCCCATCATACTCCTCAGCACGGAAGGCCTCCCTAATCTCTCCCTCTTCGAACTCGTCGTCCTGGCTCTCAGGAATAAGAATTTCGCCTTCCTCGGAACCGGCCGCGCTCCTCTGGTCAAAGTTCCCTTGCAGGAGAGTGTTGGTGAGCAGGTATATCCCTCCCATTAGTTGCTCATTCTCCTCTACCTGGGTCGGGCCTTCCTCTATCGTCCTTACCTCCTCTGCTAGACTATGTGTCCCTGCCAATGCCAACCTCATCATCCATTTAACATCCCTACTCCCCCACGGATCTTCTTCCTGGAAGGGCTTGAGGACCAACTCCTCCTTCTGCTCGTACCCCTTTGGTGCTAGTCAAATAGGATGCGTGATGCAGCTAGGCACCCTCAGCGACCATTCGTTTATGTGGAGGCGGACGTCCTTCTCCTGATCCAAGAACCCGTCGACTGGTGGGGTATCCTCAATTGATTCCTGATTCGCCCCGTCCCAGTTGATACGGCTCAACCCATTTGCCGTGTTTTTGTCCCCGGGAATCCTTTCCAACTCAAAGTTAAACATCCAAATGTAGGTCAACCACCTTGCGATGGTTGGGTCAGATAGAGTATAACTTTTCAGGGAACACGCCAGCGCGGTAGGATCCACCCTCAAGATGAGCCTCCTGCCAAAGATATAGTTCCGGAAGGTCCTCAGGCAGTGGAGTACCGCCAACGTCTCCTTTTTAAACTGGGAGTAATTCCTCTCAGTCATATTGAGGGTACGACTCTCAAACCTTAATGGCCTCTCCTTCCCATCCACATCTGCCTGAATCATGACCCCTCCTAAGCCAGTTGGCCCGGCGTCCGTTTCGACCACGAATGGTCTTTCCTCCGTGGCTTTATAATTCGGCGCTCCCAACACCAAGCCTCCTTCCTTAAATTCTCTCTTCATCCTTGTCACAGCCCTTTCCTGGTCTTCGCCCCAGACCTATTCCTGATCCTGACGCACCAGCTTTCTTAAATGCTCCGTCTTGGTGGCGAAGTCCTTCACAAAACTCCTCAAAAACCCGCAGGTCCCAAGGAAGCTTTTCACGCTCGTTATCGACTGGAAGGGGACTGGCCACTCCAGGATCTTGTCCGTCTTCTTCACATCTGGTCTCCGCCCTTTCTCGTTGCAGACAAAGCCCAGAATCGTGGCCTTCTTCATACAATGCTTCGACTTGGGGCCGCTTGCCGTCAGGTTGTGTTCTTCCAGCAGACCCAGAACCTGATCGATATCCTGGATGTGCTTCCAGACGAACCGTCTCACTCCTGGCATCACTTCGTCTTCCTCCTTCTCCTTTGGGCCCTTGACCGCCAAATCGTCAATGTAGGGCTGAGTGATATGTGGACTAACCGTCTGCATGACCCTAATCATGTGCCTTTGCACCATTGCCACCGCATTAGTCCACCCCTGAGACGCCACGTTCATGTGGATCAGCCCCCTTGGCGTATGCATCGCCGTCACCTGCCTATCCGGTGGGTATACAGGAAACTGGTCGTACCCAAAATAAAGGTCTATAAGTGAGATTATAGGCATCCCTGCACATGACTCCGACAGGGCGTCCGCGTTCGGCAATCCTCCCGCGTCCCGCACCGTCACTGCATTCAATCGTTGCAAATCCTGCACCCACCGCAGCGTTCCGTTTGGCTTGATAAAACAAAACCAGGGGGAAGCATACGGCCCACTGGAGTAATCCGCCACATACGTACTCATCTTTCCATCCAAGTAATCCACCACCTTCTTCTCCTCATCCGGATTTGGGTACTGCGCGCCCCTCAGGTTCCACGGCTCGTGTGGGACGGTATGGATTCGTATCATCGGGATCTTATCCACGTTCAACCTCCCACGCTGGTCATCATTAAACGCATATGCGCAATGCCTCCTCCTCATGGTCTTCACCATCAAGGTCCTCTCCTGGGGCAACAGGAAGCCAGGCTCGCCAATTATCAACCCTTCCTCATTCTCATTATTGATGCGGCACGGCCCTGCCTGCGCACGCTCCCGCATACGCCTTATCAGCCCTCGCTCCCGCTCATAATAGGCTTCCTCATCCTCCGTGACGAGCACGGGGACCGGGCGACACTTCTTATCTATAGTCTTGTACCGCCTTTGGGAGCCCTGCTTAAGCCCTCCCCTAAAAAAGGCCGACTTGTTGTTCGGGCCTGGGCCATCGCAGGGTCTCCTTTCCTCTCGGGAAGCCGATAGATCAGCTCCACTTCTCCCACCTGAGGGCTTTTCAGGACCTGCTCCCTCAATGCCTTTATAGCCTCAAGGTCCGCCATATCATGCGCCGCTACCACCTCCATTGCCTTATTCACATCGTTAAGGCTCAGGGACAACACCTCGCCTGCTCCTTCCTCCTCCTGCTCCTCCCGGAGTCCCCGTCGCGCATACTCAGACTCCTCGAAGGTAAAGGAGCCGAGGTTGAGCCTGTTCCTCGCACTTCCGGGCCCTGTGTTCCGACACTTAATAATTTTGTAATTCCCAAGGCCGGATCAGATAGGGGCAGGATCATCGTCCCCTCATGCCTGTTGAAGACCAAGGTCTCCGTTCGGCAGAGGAACGATCTCCCTAGAAGGATAGGGTGGTCGACATCGGGCATGACGAAGAAGCACGTTCGCGCCCTTACCCTCCCGATCTCCACCATCACGTTAGACGCGGTGCCGCAGAAAATGGCCTTGCAGTTGGCGTCGTGCAGCACACCATGGTCCGAATGATCCACCTCCAGCCCCAGCATAGTTGCGTCCCGTTCCTGGATGATATTCATTCCAGCGCCCGTGTCCACCATTGCTATGCTCAGCTGGTCCCTCACCTTCAAGTCCACCAAACCACACGCCACACATTTCCAATCCATCCTGGTGCCCGCCTCTGTCCACTCTATCTCCCTGGGCAGAATTGAGCTCAGGTGGACATTGGGCACTAACCTTCGCGAGAGCCGCCCTTTCAGCTCGCCACAAAGTCTTGGTGCCGACGGCAAAATGTCCTTTAAATTCATCAAATCGTTATGGCCCTCCAGGAGTTTGTCCACCATTCGCTCCACGTCAAAACCTTCCTCTAGCCGGACCGCGTACTTCTTCCTTTTTGGTGCGTCATCATGCAGGCTCGGCTCCGCCCCTCACTGAGTCCCTCTCTTCTTGGCCCTCTGTTCCGCTCTCCGGTTCTTCGGGCGCCTGACTGGGTGCCTGGCTGGGCCCTTGACTGGTGGTAGCCTTACTTTGGCCCCTAGTCTGCGCGGCCTGTGGTACCCTTCCATGCGACGTAGGGGGTCTGAAGGTCATCCCTGACCTAGGACCTGCCCCGGCCGTCGCCACGTTTGGACACCCTTGCGGTCCTGATGACGGCCCCGGATGGGACCCATAGAGCATCACCTCAGGGAGGATCATCTCCCATTCCTGCGCCTTTTCACACATCACCCTTAGCCGTTCCTGATACCTGCCAACCTTTGCAAGTAGGTCCTCCATCCTCTCCAGGATAGTCGAGGCTGACTCTCTCACCACCTCCTGCGCCTCATCGTCGGATTCAACAACTATGGGCTCCTCCTTTATAGCCCCCGTCTTCAGTCGTTGAGTCACTTCCTCATTTTCATCCACAATCTCCGCGACTCTCACCTCCGGGTCTTGCCCTTCCTGCCATATCCTGAACATTGTTGGGGCCGCTGGAGGCCCTGCCGCTGCTCGCCTGAGGGCTTCCTGCCTGATTCCTCCCGGGGTCTTGGGATCAATGTGCTTTCCCCACCGATCATATATATCCTCGTCTATACAGGTGGAAATTAGTCCTGCCAGCTCGTCGTCCCGCCACTGTTAGCAGAATCGTACGGTGTGGCCCACCTCGCCACAATGCCAACAAGTTGTGTTTCACCAGTCAAAGCGGGGCCTCCCATACCCTTGGCCCTCTCCCTGGCTGCCTTGGCCACCTTGGTTCTGACCCCCTTGACCATTCCAGCCTCCTCCACGGCCTCCACCATTTCCTCCTCGCCCCCGGCCGCCCCCTCCTCTACCCCCTTGGCCCCGGCCCCCATTGCCCTGCCCGCCTTGTCCTTGGCCCCCTTCCCTGGCCACACTAGCTTGCGAGGCCTGCTGGGAGGGCGGCGGTTGAGCCAAGGGCCGGCTTTGAGTTGCCGGGTAGCTCGGGGGGGCCATACTTGCGGATGGGCCTGAATAAGGGACCATGTGCCCCGCGTGGGCCTGACTCCCTCCACACGAGACACAGTGGTTACAACTGGGTCAGAGCGCGGACTGACAATGCGGCACCCAGTGCCCGCAAGTTGATGGCGGCCCCATGTCTGATGGTCCTGCTGACACTGGCGCGGCCGCGGTGACAGGCGGAGGTGCGGCAATGGCTTGGGGGGCCTGCCCCTTCCCTGACCCCTGCCCTCCCTGCAGCAAATTGCGCTGCTTCCTCTGGGCCTTAGTCAGGACCTGGGAGCCTGTCTCGCCTCCGCCGTAGTCTTCTTGCCCAGCCTCCTCATCCACTACCCCTGATGCCCGGCCTTGGGCCACTAACACCCCTCTTTTCTGTATCTCTGCTTCGTTATCTTACCCCAACACTGTCAACACGTCTGTGACTATTCTCTTTACCCCTGGGGTCCCGGATGCGGTAGCATCCCTCTCCTTCCTCTTGCGCTTTTGCAGCCTTATTTGGTGCTGCTCTACCTGGTCCAGGCTCCCTTCCTCCACTCCTTTGTCAATGGTTCTCGAGGTGAGCCTCTCACTCCCTTCCCCATACTTTGTCAACTTTGTGGCTTCCGACCCTGTGAGCAGCCCCAAAAATGTGGCGCATTGCGCTTCCTCAAATATCCCGTGCACCTTCCTCGCTTTTTTCTTAAACTCGTGCATGAACGCCCCAATGGTAGAGAAATCTTCCTTATTCATGGCCTCCAAGTCGGCCATGGTCAGCAGGCCGTCTCCCAGCCTGTACTTCCTTCGCATTAGGTCCCCAAACTTTGTCCAGCTGCCACCGAAGGCATCCACAACCTTAGTTACTTCCCGATGGTGGCTATGCAGGACATACCTCAAGACCCGTTGGAGCTTGACCTCATCTGACAGTCCCACTAGCGCCTGCTCTGTCACATCCAACCAATCAGATACCCGATCCCCTTTGAAGTGGAATGTCTCGACCTTTGGGACGTTGCTCGGCGCCCTCTCGCGCTTGTCCAGGGCATCAATGAGGTCATCGAGAGTCACAAACTTCCTCCCACCGTCCGCCATCTCCTCTGGCATTTTGGCCAACCGCCTTCGACTTTAATCTTCCTGTTATAAGAGACGATGGGACAGAGGACCCCACTCAGCGACTCAACCTTCCATGACCCTATCGGTTTGACCACCTTAGACGCCCCACACTCTAGACCTGGCAGGCATTCCTTCTCCCATTTCCCTTGGGCTCCCATAGATACCGCTTATCCTCACCATAGAACTTCCTCATCCACATACAACACTCAGGTGTCAACCAAGCCGCCAATCAATCAATCATTCAATCCAAAATCGTATAGACCACCTTACAGTACATCTCATAGTCCTCCTCTTATTCACTGATATGCCTAGTTTCTCTCTTACTCCCATGCCCGGATGTCGTTCCACCAGGGACAACGGTAGGCTTCTGTCATCCTCGGCAAAGGCGCCACATGTCGAGCGCATCGGTCTAGCGCCACACGCGGCGGCGCGGGACCCTTCGGCCGCGTCACGCAGGAGTTGAATCAACCTCAACATAACATGCCAATGGAGCTTTCACAAGCCGCTCCGGCCGAGTGCGCCAGCCATACCTCTCGCGAGCCCCTACGACAGAATAGGGCCTACGCGAGGCACGACTTACCTCCACCTTACGGGAGCTGTCACCTCCCATCCGTGGGCGTATCCCCGCCGAGCTACCAGTCCACAGTACGAAAACTAATCAGCTGCAATCGCAAAGGTGGACCACCCGAGGGCGTTTCTCGTTCGCTATAGCATAGAGGGTACGTGCGGTAATACGCCTATCGGACCCGCATGCGAACGGACATCTTGGGGGGCTGAAGTCCCAAGCGCGGCTCGGTGTCGGTCGACTAGGACGCATCCCGTACACATCGCGCACACCACTCTAACAACCACATGACAACAACGCGCACACATACACACGGAACTACACAACACAAACAACGCGACAACGCTCCTAGCCCCTCGGTAGTCAGCCCATAACTTCCCGGCGTGGAAATCGGATAAGCGTCACGCGCGAGACGTAGTATAAAAATCGCGCGGACGCAAAGCTAACTCATATCGACTCGCAATGCAAGCGCACGCAAGCGGTCGCAATGATGGCGTACCATGTAGTACCCATATTCACGCGGTCCTCATTAATCTCGAGGGTCGCGTTCGACACTCAAATGTCGGCTGACACGCGCCTTAAGGATTAATCTCTCGACGCTGGACAATCTCCATGTGCGGTTGAAGACCACACACCCTTTTTTGCACCCTTATGCAGAGTGGGTGGTACACAGGCCCACGCCTGTGGTGGTAATCGTCTCTCGCGGCCCTAGGGGTGAGTCCTCCCCAGGGCCTGGGTGAAAGTCAAGGGGTTTGACTTTGACGACTGCCACGGACTGCAACGTCCAACCATAAAATCCCTAACGAGCAGACGAGGCACATACGAAAACAAGAAGAGGGGCTAGGGCAAAGCCCTTCCCCTCTTACCTTAGAAGGGAAGTCGTGACCTTGGGGTACCCTCCCCCTCTACGGTTGGTGTCGGCAGCCCGCAATAATCCAAGCGCTGCACCCACGCGCGAACCCGTCAATCCCATAACCTTTAGATGTTGGGGCGGCGAGACCTCGCGCACAAGGCCCTGATATAAAACCGCGCGGCCGCAGACCAATCCTATGCTAACCACGGATGCCAATCATACGTGGTACCCGCGGCTCCGGCCTCGCGATATTGAATGGCTGAAGGAACTCATCACGAGGGGTTACCCCTCACGATATTGGACGGCTGAAGGACATGCCGTTCGGTCCTCGCGACATTCCCGCCTTTCAGGTGGAGTGTCCTGGCGGCCAAAGTAAATAGACTTTATGCAAGGGGAGGCTCCTCCTCTTCAGGGCCTAGGGCTTGGGATGTCCTGGACAAGGACCTCGAATCCCGGCCCATGACCAACGTCCGACTAAGAAAGCCCCAAGACGCAAATGGGCAAAAGGGAGGGTCTTCCCTGTCCCTCCATCCCAACTCTCACGCGGTTGTTAACATGGCCTCTTAGGCCTCCCGAGTACTCATCATACGTATATCCACGCATACATACGGAAGGGGGATAGAGTTATGACGATCACTTCTCACAGGCACAGTAAGACTCCTCACAACCATGTATATGTATATGGAATCGCAGGCAGTCCAAATCCAAAATGCGAGCCACAGGACATACCTGCAACCACACCAAGAATCAAGCGACAAAACACGCACTACACGGAGTCAACCCCAACCATTCTCTATGCTCATACCCCCTTCGCTTTAGCCATGCAAGTCCCAACCGTCAGTCCAACCAACCTCAATTAATTACTCAGTACCTTTGTTAAATGGTCATTCAATAAAAGTCCGGGTAAAACCCTTAACAAACAATAAAAACCACCAGGGCTAAAGCCTTTTAGGTTGAGTATGGGGAATGAGTTGAAATTGAGTTGAAGACCGACGAATCGGCAACCGACCTGTTATCAGTGATAACAGGAGATGATCCTCAAGGGATCAAGCTGAATATAGTCCTGATCCTGAATCGAACGATCAAGACGACCTGTAACAAATGACAGGCCAATCCCCAAGTTGAGATCACAAATGTATGGAGAATACAACCCCATAACATATTCTCACTCAAATCCTCCTAACAGGCTAAGCCTAAATCTAGCTTTAAGCAGTGCCCAAGGCAAAGGCAGGCTCTGGCTAAGGGGGTGGATTGCCAGAATCGTCACCTGTCAAAATATATTCTAACTCCCTTAATTCAAGAAAATTTCGGCAGCGCTTCCCGTAGGAAAAGTGTCTTTTCAGAATTTATACAAGCTTAAATATAAAAGCAGAAATCATCTCTAACTTAAGAAAGTCAAATTTTGTTTATCTCTCTGACTTAGCAGAAATTTGGGCAGCATTCCCTTTGGAATTGACAATTTCTCAGATTTATACCAAGTTGAAGTTGAACTCAGCCCCCGACCTTGAGTTCAACTTAGACAAAATCTGGCTAACTCCTTAGTTTTGCAGAAATTTCGGCAGCACTCCCCCTAGAAAAGTGTTTTCCCAAAATTCATACAAAGCCAAGTTTAGAATCTGAGACTAACTATGATATTCCAAAGCCCAGTTTTGTCTAACTCCTTGAATTAGCAAAAATTTGGGCAAACACTCTATCTAGAAAAGGGGACTTTCCAGATTTTTACTAAGTCAGATATGACGAAAAGACAAGTTGAACTTTGACAAGTCAAAAATTTGTCTAACTCCTTGAATCGGTAGAAATTTCGGCAGCGCTTCCTGTAGAGAAAGTAGCTTACCAAAATTTATACAGGTCCAAGTATAGCAACGACCCTCAAAAAATGAAAAAATTGATCTAAGTAAAATAAAGTCAGCTAAGAAAATGCAGGAATTAACCTAACTCCTATCGCTCTAGCACGTGGCGAGCCTCTAAAGCAACTACCTGTCAACCTGAAACCCCGACCAAGTAGTAATCTCACTCAGCCACCTGCAGGCCAAACCACAAAGGTAAGTACTCTCACCATCCCCAAGCCAATCTGAACAAACAATAGTTCATGATCTTTCAGTGAGTTATCCCCTCATACCCAACTTACATAAGGCATAGGCCAGGGCTCCTGAACTTACAGAGCGCGCCCAACTTAGCCAGGCTTAAAGTCAGAATACCTAAACTTATAGAGCGTTCTGACTTGGCCAGGTATACACAAACAGAGGGCACAACTACTTCTCTCTTCTTTGGGCGTCTGACTAGACCACTCTAGTCGCCCTGAACAATTTAAATAGCCAATTTGTATATACCTCTCTGAACTTAGTCTTCGAAGGGACATAAGGCTGAGCCGCTCAACTTAGAACATTGCTCACCCTGCCCACATTTTCCTTCAGTTATATCTCTTGATTATACTCTCTTCAGTTGTGATAAGCTATAGTCAGGCTACCTAAACTTATAGAGCGACCTGACTAGCCTGTTCTTAATAGCATAGTAATACAATATAGCCAAATTATATCCATTGGGTTCCGACATGTGCGAGGCATTTGGTCAGACCACCTAAACTTAAAGAGCTTGCGAGGCAGTGGGGTAGGCTACCTTAACTTATAGAGCGGTCTGCCCCCTGCCAGAATTATTCCCTCAAAACAAAACAGGAGAAGGGATGAACCACCTAAACTTATAGAGCGGTTCAGACCTCCTCCTTCAGAATCAAAGAAGCTGAGAGAACCCCAAACAAAATGAGGCAACCCAAGGTACCTAAACTTATAGAGCACCTTGGGTCCCTAAAAGCCACTCACAATCAAACTCCCACAGGTCAGAGCAGCCAGGACACCTAAACTTATAGAGCGTCCCGACCCTCCATGCAATTCACAGCACCATGTCTCCCCAAACTTATGGGGACATCCCAGCCTCCAAAGCTTCAGGCTACCTAAACTTATAGAGCGGCCTGAGGTTCCATGCAAACCAAAAATAAACAAAGCGCTGGGTTTCCCCAAACTTAAGGGGACCTCCCAGCCTTAATGACCCAGTCAATCTGCACACAATGCTGCCTTCCTCCCAACCTTCCCCCAGATGCAACCCATTTCGTTCGCAATCTGCTTTCAGACAATCAACAAACGGAGACTGAGATTTGCCCACACATTCTTTTATTTCAGTCTGACTTATGTCCTGAACGTCAAACTCAAAACCAAGTACAAGATCCATACAATACTCTCAGTCAAGCATAGAGAGATGTACAGGTAGGGGTTATAGTTGGGTTTATAAACGGAATCAAGGGTTTACCACTCAGTTCTCTGCCTCCAAGACTACGCCTGAGTCCCGGCAGAGCTCCCGCAATCGGTGGGGCGAACCTCCCACAGAGGCCTTGGCGTGGATTACGGGCCACACGCCCGTGTCAAAGGACCAGACTTGGAGTAAGAAGAACATGATAAGGAGGAGTAAGACTCTCAGACTCAGGGAAGACACACTCAGACTCACGCGAGAGGGTCTTCGATCCTTTAACGCCTAAGGGCCCCACAATGGCGGCCAACTGTCAGCTTGGCCAGAGAAGTCAACCTGCCGAAGTACCCCCTCCTGTCGGACCTTTTGGACTACAGCACTAGCCCTCTCCTTCGTATCGCTCTCTTGATTCGCACAA